TACCATTAACTGATGTTATTTTGCACTTGTGGATTTTAAGGAGCTCTTCAGGACGTCCAAAAATTCAATTGAAATTTTGGTTTTACATTCTTCATGCATGTAATTTAGAAATGAAAATAGAAAATAAAATGTTTCTTGACGAATTTTTGAGTAATTTACAGTTAACCATGAGGATACCTCAATGCACTATTATTTTATGTTATGTTGCACTTGTGAATTTTAAGGAGCTCTTCAGGACGTACGGTGTACGCTAATCAATTGAAATGTTGGTAAGTTAATTTTCAAAATATACACTTTTGAAATAAAATTAGAAAATAAAATGTTCCCTAACAAAATTTTGAGTTATTAACCATTAACCATGAGGATACCTCAATGTAACTATTAATTTATGTTATATTGCACTTGTGAATTTTGAGGAGCTCTTCAGGACGTACCGTACAGACTAAATAATTGAAATTTTGGTTTTATATTCTTCATTGTATGTTTTTTTCAAAATAAAATCAGAAAATATATGTTAACAAATTTTCGCATAATTTGTACTTAACTTTGCCGACAGCACGATGTGTATTTAAATTAAGTAATATTAATTGTAATATTTTGGGGGCTCGTCAGGACCTACTATGCGGGATAAACAATTATAATTTGGGAATTATATTCTCGAGTGTATATACTTTTGGAATAAAATTACAAAAAAACATGTTTATAACAAATTTTTGAGTAATTAGTACTAGACTTCGTCAATACTTCAATGTACCATTAATTTATGTTAAAATGTACTTGTAAACTTTAAGAAGCTCGTCAGGACTCGCTATGCAGAATAGACATGTGAAATTTTGATATTATATTCTCTGATACATAAGCTTTAGAAATAAAATTAAAAAATAAAATGTTTCTTAACAAAATTTTGAGTAGTTAACCATTAACTATAACGATACATCAATGTACATTAATTTATGTTATCAAGCAATCGTAACTTTTAAATACAACTTTGCTCTCGCCGTTTTTACAATACAAGTCCTCTGCAAAAACGGCATAGGCAAAGTAGTACACTTGATATATTTTTTATTAGTATACCGAGTTGCTGTAGGGTTTAATGATGTTGATTAATTAATTTTATGCAATCTTGTCGAAGGAACCGTTTATATTAAAAGTTATGGCATATATAATACATTTGTTATTTCATAACAAGTAGGTGTACAACTTTTGTTCCGCCGTTTTTGCAATACGATTTGTATGCAAAAAACGGCGGGAGCAAAGTTGTACAATAATTAATAATATATTAAATTATCCAGGATACTCATATAATATACATATATACAAGTTATTTAGTAAAAATTAGTGAAAAGTGTCAAATATGGCGCAAAATTTGAATTTGAATTTGAATTTGGTAAAGAATTTTTTTTTAATTATAGATTTTAATTTTTTTAAATTGTAGATTAATTAATTTTGAACAAATTTGTCGAATAACAAAGTATACAAAATAATTAAAAACATCAAATGTAATATATTTAATTAACAACAACCTCAAGAGTCCGATTAATTTAAACAAAATTTATGTTTTTCTACCAAATTTAAATTCAAATTACGCGCCATTTCACTAACTCCACCTCCAATTTTTAATACTATTAAATTTTATTTTTTAGAAGTGTTAACACTGTCTTCGGGTGCGCGCGCAACCCTTCACCTTTGGAGACTTGGACGACGATGATTTTAATGGACATAGTTTTTGTTTAATAAAATATTAAATTTGGCGTCGAACGTGTTGACTAGATTTTAGACAATAGTCAGTTATTATTTAGTTATTATTCGGAAATCGGACAGAAGTTTTACTGTGACTTTTAGTGCTAGGATTAAGTGGTAATTCGGTGTTGAAAGTGTTGGACAAAAATTGGATTTTAGTTCGGCATTTTAGTTACAAAAAGTAAAAATGGCGAAGGCTTGGGGTGCAGAATTTTGTTCGAGCACGTGGACAAAGTAAGTTTATTTTTCAATTTATATATTGTAAAAAATAATTTGTATATATATATTTGATTAGTATCCTGGATTATTCATTATATTATTAATTATCGTACAACTTTTCTCCCAAATTTTTGTCAAACAAATCGTATTGCAAAAACGGCGGAACGAAAGTTGTACACCAATATGTTAATATATTAATTGGTTGTTATATTAATTTATATATTGTGAAAAATAATTTGTATATATTATATATATATATATATATATATATATATATATATATTTGAGTTGTACGCTTGATTGTTATGTATTATTTGTGCCGTAACTTTTAAACCGTTTGCTAAAGAAAAATGCTCTAAAATTAATTAATCTACAATATTGTCTAACATCATTAAGCCCTACAGCAACTAAAAGTAAAAAGCGAGTAAAAATAAAAATATATCACGTGACAATAAAAAATATATCAAATGTACAACTTTGCCTATGCTGTTTTTGTAGAGGACTTGTATTGTAAAAACGGCGCGAGCAAAGTTGTATTTAAAAGTTACGATTGCTTGATAACATAAATTAATGTACTTTGAGGTATCGTCGTAGTTCATGGTTACTCGATTTAATTACTCGAAAATTTGTTAAGGAGTATATTTTATTCTAATTTTATTTCTAAAGCTTATGGATTGGAGAATGTATTATCAAAATTTCACATGTCTATTCTGCATAGAAAGTCCTGACGAGCTTCTTTAAATTTACAAGTGCATTATAACATAAATTAATAGTAGGTACATTGAAGTATTGACGAAGTTAAGTACAAATTACTCGAGAATTTGTTTAGAAACATAATTTTGTAATTTTATTCCAAAAGTATATACACTAGAGAATATAATTCCGAAATTGCAATTATTTATCCCGAATAGTAAGTCCTGACGAGCTCCCGAAATATTACGATTAATATATAACTTAAATTAAATACACATCGTGCTGTCTGCAAAGTTAAGTACAAATTACTCGAAAATTTGTTAAGAGACATATTTTTTTCTAATTCTATTTCTAAATTAGATATACTGAATAATATAATACCAAAATTTCAATTATTTATTCTTTACGGTACGTCTGAAGAGCTCCTCAAAATTTACAAGTTCAGTATAACATAAATTATATGTTCATTCAGGTATCGTCATGGTTAATTGTAAATTACTCAAAATTTTGTTAGGAAACATTTTATTTTCTAATTTTAGTTTAAAAGTGTATATTTTGAAGAACACCCTACCAAAATTTGAATTATTTAGTATACACGGTACGTCCTGAGGAGCTCCTCAAAATTAACTAGTGCAATATTACATAAATTAATAGTACATTGAAGTATCGTCGTGGTTAATTATAAATTACTCAGGAATTTGTTAAAGGACATACTTTTTTATAAATTTATTTTTAAAGTGCATGTATTGAAAAATATAAAACCAAAATTTCAATTGTTTATTCTGCACGGTACGGCCTGAAGAGCTCCTCAAAATTCACAAGTGCAATTTAACATCAGTTAATAGTACATTGAGGTATCCAAATGGTTAATGGTTCATAACTCAAAATTTGTTAAGGAACATATTTTTTCTAATTTTATTTCTAAATTACATACAATGAATAATATAATACCAAAATTTTAATTATCTAGTCTATACGGTTAGCCCTGAAGAGCTCCTCAAAATTCACAAGTGCAAATGACATAAATTAATAGTACATTGAGGTATCATCATGCTTAGATGTAAATTACTCAGAAATTTGTTAAAGGACTTACTTTTTTCAAATTTTATTTTCAAAGTACATGCATTGAAGAATATGGAACCAAAGTTTCAATTGTTTATTCTGCACGGTACGTTCTGAAGAGCTCCTCAAAATATACAAGTGCAATTTGGCATAAATTAGATGTACATTGAGGTATCCTTATGGTCAATTGTAAATTACTCAGAAATTTGTGAAAAAACTTACTTTTTTTTAATTTCAGTTTCAAAGTACATGCATTGAAGAATATAAAACCAAAATTTCAATTACTCTTTCTGCACGGTACGTCCTGAAGAGCTCCTCGAAATTTACAAGTGCAATATTACATCAATTAATGGTACCTTGAGGTATCGACAAGTTTAATAGTTATTTATTCGAAAGTTTGTAAAGGAACATATTTTTTTTTAAATTTTATTTTCAAAGTGTATATATTAAAGAATAACATTCCAAAATTTTAATTAATAATTCTATTTGGTTGATTCTGAAGAGCTCTTAAAAATTCACAAGTACAATATAACATAAATTAATAGTATACACAGTACATATTTTTTTTAAATTTTATTTTCAAAGTGTATATATTAAAGAATAACATTCCAAAATTTTAATTAATAATTCTATTTGGTTGGTTCTGAAGAGCTCTTAAAAATTCACAAGTACAATATAACATAAATTAATAGTATATTGAGGTATCTTCATGGTTAATTGTAAATTACTCAGAAATTTGTTAAAGGACTTACTTTTTCTAAACTTTATTTTAAAAGTACACACAATGAAGAAGATAATATCAGAATTCTAATTACTTAGTCTACACGGTTAGTCCTGAAGAGCTCCTCAAAATTCACAAGTGCAATATGGCTCAAATCAATAGTACATCGAGGTATTAACAAGTTTTAAGGAATTAACAAGTTAAGGAACATATTTTTTTCTAATTTTATTTCCAAACTACATACATTGAAGTATATATTACTGAATTTTCAATTACTTAGTTTGCACAAAAGCTTCTGAAAAGCTTCTCAAAATTTACAAGTGCAATATAACATCAGTTAATAGTACCTTGAGGTATCGACATGGTTAATGGCTATTTACTCTAAAATTTGTTAAGGAACATAATTTTTTCTAATTTTATTTGCAAAGTACATGTATTGAAGAATACAAAACCAATATTTCAATTGCTTATTGTGCACATCACGTCCTGAAGAGCTCCTCAAAATTCACAAGTGCAATATAACATAAATTAATAGCACATTGAGGTATCCTCTTGATTAACTGTAAATTACTCAGAAATTTGTTAAAGGACTTACTTTTTTCTAATTTTATTTCCAAACTACATACATTGAAGTATATAAAACTAAAATTTCAATTACTTAGTCTGCACGGTACGTCCTGAAGAGCTCTTCAAAATTCAGAAGTGCAATATAACATAAATTAATAGTATGTTGAGGTATCCTCATGGTTAATTGTGAATTACTCAGAAATTTGTTAAGGAACATATTTTTTTCTAATTTTATTTTCAAAGTGTATATATTAAAGAATAACATACTAAAATTTTAATTAATAATTCAACACGGTTGGTTATGAAGAGCTTCTCAAAATTGCAAATGACAACAAATAATTTTTCGACAAGGTTATTGTAATTGTAAATTACTCAAAGAACTGGAGATGAGACAAAACAGGATTTGAAACGTTTATATATATATATATATATATATATATATATATATATTACAAATTCCTAGGAAGTTTTGACTCAATAATTTTCTTAGCACTTGATTAAAAAAAATATTCCAAACAAAACCAATAGTCGATAAAAGTCAAAATGTTTACAGAATCTTCAAAATATATTTGCATGTACATTAATTTAATTTTACATGAGATACAGCATCATAAAAATATTTTAAGAGCTATATTCGAAGAATTATGATTAAACTGAGAGCTGGTGATATAACTTATTCAAGAAATATACATTGTCTTTATATTAGAAGAAAAGTTTCTAAAAACTGATGTTATATTGCACTTGTGGATTTTGAGGAGCTCTTCAGGACGTACCGTGCAGAATAAACAATTGAAATTTTGGTTTTATATTCTTGGATGCATGTACTTTGAAAATAAAATTAGAAAAAAGTAAGTCCTTTAACAAATTTCGGAGTAATTTATAATTAACCATGAGGATACCTCAATGTACTATTAATTTATGTTATATTGCACTTGTGAATTTTGAAGAGCTCTTCAGGGCGTACCGGGTAGACTAAATAATTACAGTTTTGATATTATCTTTTTCATTGTGTGTACTTTCAAAATAAAATTACAAAAAAAATATGTTTAACAAATTTTCGAGTAATTTGTACCTAACTTTGCCGACAGCACGATGTATATTTAATTTAAGTAATATATTAATCGTCATATTTTGGGAGCTCGTCAGGACTTACTATGCGGGATAAACAATTATAATTTTGAAATTATATTCTCCAGTGTATATACTTTTGGAATAAAATTACAAAAAAATATGTTTCTTAACAAGTTTTTGAGTAATTTGTGCTTAACTTCGTCAATACTTCAATGTACCATTAATTTATGTTATATTGCACTTGTGAATTTTGAGAAGCTCGTCAGGACTTGCTATGCAGAATAGACATGTGAAATTTCGATTATATATTCTCAAATACATAAGCTTTAGAAATAAAATTAAAAAAAATATATTCCTTAAAAACATTTTGTGTAATTAACCATTAACTATGACGATACCTCAATGTACATTAATTTATGTTATCAAGCAATTGTAACTTTTATATACAACTTTGCTCGCGCCGTTTTTACAATATAAGTCTTTTGCAAAACCGGCACAGGCAAAGTATTACACTTGATATATTTTTTATTAGTATACCGGGTTGCTGTAGGGCTTAATGATGTTAGACAATATTGTTGATTAATTAATTTTATGCAATCTTGTCGAAGGCACCATTTATATTAAATGAATGGTTTAAAAGTTATGGCACAAATAATACATAACAATTAGGTATACAACTTTTGTTCCGCCGTTTTTGCAATATGATTTGTATGCAAAAAACGGCGGGAGCAAAGTTGTACAATAATTAATAATATATTAAATAATCCAGGATACTCATATATATACATAATTTTTCACAATTAAACTGAATAAGACAATTTTTAAAGATATTTTACTGGCTGAATATTTGAGTATTTTTCTATAAGCTGCTCTATTATACCTCATATATATATATATATAT